ATGCGTGTGTGTGTGTGTGTGCGTTTGTGTGTGCGTGTCCGTGTTTCCGTGTGTCCGTGTGTGTTCGTGTTTGTGCGCGTTTGTGTGTACCCCCAGCGCACGGCACATGGAGCACGACAGCGGCTCAGCACGCGGCACTGCATCGCCGTTGTCATTAGGACCACGTTTTGCGGAACCCACTGCAGCATCAGGCCCAGCCTCCCTTCCCCGGGCCTAGCTGAATCCACGCACCACGCGGTGCTTCACGCACCACCACCAGAACCAACTCACGAACCGAACGGATTGGAAGGCAGCGAGACCCCTCGCGCGCGTGCGTGCACGCGCGCGCTCGGACGAGAGAGGAGGAGGAGGAGAAGGAGGAGGAGGAGGAGGAGGAGGAGAAGGAGGAGGAGGAGGAGGAGGAGCCGCGCATCAAGTGCCGAGAAGGTCTTGGCCAGAAGAGGGGCCTGGGCATGCCAACCTGTCCCGGTGGGGGGGAAGCGAGAAGGCAACCGATCGCGGATCGAGCGGATCCCCTCGCCGTGGGGTGGGTGCACTCTGGGAACTGAGCGTGGCCACTCGCTGCCCAGTAGTGCCTCCGGAGAGGCCCAAACCCCTCGACGGCCCACGACGGCCTCACCAGACCTCCTCCAGACGGCCGAGAGGGCTCCAGGACGGCCGAAGAGAAGCCCAGGACGGCCAAAGATGGCCACAATAGGCCAAGACTGCCCCACAGGAGCCCAATGCATCCCCAAGACGGCCCAAAGAAGCACCATGCGAGCTCCACACGAAGTCTCACGCGTCACGGCGTTCTGTGCGCTCCTCGGCCAGTCGCCACCTGGAGTGCTGGGCTGGCACGGTGGCGGGGACTTGCCGCAGGCAGCTGGACAGCCCAGGAATGCCGAGGAGCATCAAAGAAATAGATTCGGACCCCGCGCAAGCATCTGGAAGACCAGAGGGGAAGGAAACTCGGGACCCTCTCCACCCCCCACACCCCAATCAAAACATCCAGAAACCTCTAAAGACCTCCAGCCAGAATCCGCCAGGACAGATAACGATCTTCAGTGAAAGACGCGGGGGGCAAGACATTTCGGGAAGCAAGACCACGATAGGCAGAGGGGCGGTCCGACGTCTTTCCTCATAGAAGCGATCGCCGTCGAGCATGAACGTCAAGCAGGCACCGACCGTGGGATAGATGTCTATATGTATATGTGTACATATGAAGAAGAATCACACGCATCTAAACATCAGCAAACAATAGAGAATGGCATTCAAGCGTGAGAAGCAAGCAGAAGCCGTCTCGAAGCTGTCGGGCTTCCTCCCCCCCTCCCCTTGCCCAGAAAACCGACGCGCGCAGCCATCCAAATCCCAATGTGGTTGTGGTGGCGCCCCCGCCCAGCCAAACATGATGGACCCACGAACCCGGAAAGGGATATAGACATGTGCAGCATGGTCACGTTTTCACGATATCCAACTGGGCGACACCTCACGAAACATCCCACGAGACACCCCGCGAAACATCCCAGGAGACACCTCACGAAAAACAACGCCACGAACACCTCACAAACATTCCAACCGAGACACCCCGTGAAACCTTCCACGAAGACAAGACCCACGAACAGGCAACCACTCAACCAGCCACCCCCCGAAACATTCCACGGGGGTGCGACTGGGTGTGGTCGTGCTGGGGTGTGGTCGTGCTGGAGTATGGTCGTGTTGGGGTGTGGTCGTGCTGGGGTGTGGTCGTGCTGGGGGGTGGTCGTGCTGGGGGGTGGTCGTGCTAGGGGGGTGGTCGTGCTGGGGGGTGGTCGTGCTGGGGCGTGGTCGTGCTGGGGCGTGGTCGTGCTGGGGCGTGGTCGTGCTGGAATGTGGTCGTGCTGTGGTGAGGTCGTGCTGGGGTGTGGTCGTGCTGGGGTGTGGTCTTGCTGGGGTGGGGTCGTGCTGGGGTGTGGTCGTGCTGGGGTGTGGTCGTGCTGGGGGGTGGTCGTGCTGTGGTGAGGTCGTGCTGGGGTGTGGTCGTGCTGGGGTGTGGTCTTGCTGGGGTAGGGTCGTGCTGGGGTCGGGTCGTGCTGGGGTGTGGTCGTGCTGGGGTATGGTCGTGCTGGGGTGGGGTCGTGCTGGGGTCTGGTCGTGCTGGGTTGTGGTCGTGCTGGGGTATGGTCGTGCTAGGGTGGGGTCGTCTGGGGTGTGGGTCGGGCTGAGGTGTTTCGTGCTGGGGTGGTGGTCGTGCTGGGGTATGTGTCCGTGCTAGGGTGGGGTCGTTGATTTCGCTCGAGACATCGCTGCCAAAATTCCAGGAACACGTAGTAACAAAACAAACGAATTAGTCGAGACAATCATCGAAATTCCTTCGCGCGGGGCGCTTTTCTTTTCTTTTTTTTTTTTTTTTTTTTTTTTCGTTTTTCCTTTCTTTTTTTTTTCCTGCGGTCGGGGGGGGGGGGGTCGGCCTCCTCTGCAAAACCAGCGTTTTCGCTTGAGACTCCTGAGGAGAGCATGGACAGTTCATCTGAAAACAAGCGTTTCGCTCGAGACCAAATCCTCAAACTAACTCTCTTATCTAACTCTGCATAAACCAGCGTTTCGCTCCGAGACATCCCAACAAATTCTGAAAAACAAGCGTTTCGCTCGAGACATCCTCAAATTTTAATTCGCCGGCCTCCTTCGACCTCGTTATTTATCAGGGACAAAATTCGCCGGCCTCCCTCAAGTTGGCACCGGGGGACAGGTTTACCTACTAAAAGAGAACCCTGGGCCGATGCCCTTTCCGGGAACAAAGTCGAAGCGGAGCGGCGGAATTAGATATTGTGCAAAAATCCCGGCGTGAGGCTTTTCGCTATGGAATTGGATATGGAGGTTTCCAACATCGAATGAGCCGCCCAATCTTGAACGACCTCCACTCTGGGAGTATCCCCCTGCAGCGTTAGAGGAGAGGAGGGTAAAAGAGAAAAAACACACAAACCAAAAAAAGGAACAAAAGCAAAAGAAAAGACATAAGCAAAAGAAAAACGAGGCGTCGACCACATCGTCCGCTTGGGTTTCGCTTTGCGTACAGTGGGGACTCGGCCGCAAAAAACCTCCGCAAGTAATCCAACCCTGAGATCCGCGATTTGTTCAGTGAAAGTCCACATGAGTCGATCGAGGATTGTCAAGATCATATTGGAAACCCATCGAAATCTAAGAAACCCAGGGCACCCTGGCAAAATCCAACTGGTTTCTTGGCACGCGCCCCCACCGTGGTTCGTGGCGTGGATCCGTGGAGGAACCACAAGCTGCAGAAGCACGACCCCTCGGAAGTCGGCGCGGACTTCCTGCATCGGAGCGCGCCGGGGGGCGCCGGCGGAGGCCCCGCCAGGGGGGCCCAGCGCCGATCCAAGAAATCCCGCGGACAATGCCAGCGAAGGAGGAAGGACGGACAAAGGCATGGCAGAAGGAAGGAAGACCCAACACACAACAGGCAACTACAGTCAACTGAAGGCACGCGAGCAGCAACATGATGGACCCACGAACCCGGAAAGGGATATAGACATGTGGAGCATGGGCACGTTTTCACGATACCCAACGGGGCAACACCTCACGAAACATCCCACGAGACACCTCACGAAACATCCCACGAGACACCTCACGAAACATTCCGCGAGAAACATGATGGACCCACGAACCCGGAAAGGGATATAGACATGTGGAGCATGGACACGTTTTCATGATACCCAACTGGGCAACACCTCACGAAACATCCCACGAGACACCTCACGAAACAGCCCACGAGACACCTCACGAAACATTCCACGAGACACCTCACGAAAAATTACACGAGACACCCCGCGAAACATTCCACGAGACACCCCACGAAACATTCCACGACGACAGGCAACCACTCAACAAGGCGGTGTGGTCGTGCTGGGGAGTGGTCGTGCTGGGGTGTGGTCGTGCTGGGGGGTGGTCGTGCTGGGGTGTGGTCGTGCTGGGGGGGTGGTCGTGCTGGGGGGTGGTTGTGCTGGGGCGTGGTCATGCTGGGGCGTGGTCGTGCTGGGGCGTGGTCGTGCTGGGGTGTGGTCGTGCTGTGGTGAGGTCGTGCTGGGATGTGGTCGTGCTGGGGTGTGGTCTTGCTAGGGTGTGGTCGTGCTGGGGTGTGGTCGTGCTGGGGTGTGGTCGTGCTGGGGTGTGGTCGTGCTGGGGGGTGGTCGTGCTGGGGCGTGGTCGTGCTGGGGCGTGGTCGTACTGGGGTGTGGTCGTGCTGTGGTGAGGTCGTGCTGGGGTGTGGACGTGCTGGGGTGTGGTCTTGCTGGGGTAGGGTCGTGCTGGGGCGTGGTCGTGCTGGGGCGCGGTCGTGCTGGGGCGTGGTCGTGCTGGGGTGTGGTCGTGCTGTGGTGAGGTCGTGCTGGGGTGTGGTCGTGCTGGGGTGTGGTGAGGTCGGGATTTCAAAAACAAGCGTTTCGCTCAAGACATCCTCAAATTTTAATTCGCCGGCTCGTTATTTATCATGGAAAAAATTCGCCGGCAATTCGCCGGCTCGTTATTTACCAGGGAAAAAATTCGCCGGCAATTCGCCGGCTCGTTATTTATCAGGGAAAAAATTCGCCGGCCTCCTTCAAGCAGGCACCGGGGGACAGGTTTACCTAGTACAAAGAGAACCCTGGGCTCTTGCCCTTTCCGGGAAAAAGTGCAACGATCTCGGTGCCACCAAGGCTTCCATCATTGTGAACACCTAAGAGAACCCATGTCACGCCGACTTTTACTGCGTCCAGAAACCAGGAAAGGGGTCCCGGGATGGGCGAGCAACGACATATGTACATGTACGCCCTCCGCGGTCTTGCCTGCACGAACGTCCGCGTTCACACGCACTCCAGGAGAAACTAACCGCGTACGTGTACATATGTTGCTGGCCTCCGACGGGAGGCCGCTCAGCCTTGGACGTCGGCGCCGGAGCCGCCGCCGCGTCGAGGCGGAGCGAGGCCGCCGAGCTCTCTCTCTCTCCCGGTGGCTCGCCGACAGAGGGCCCGGCGCGCGGGGGGGGGTGTCTCCTGGCGGGGAGCAGCGGCAGCAGCCTGTGGAGGAGCTGCTCGGGCCGGATGGGGTCGAGCATCAGGGTCGCAAATCTGGCGGGTGCGGGGGGGGCAGGGGCAGGAAGGGAGGAGGAGGAGCATCGTGAGGAGGAGGAGGCGGGGAGGAGGACGGCGTGTGGTATGGAGGATGAGGGGGATGAGGAGGAACCGCTCGACGTTTGGACCTTTCTTACGCCTCTGAAGGGAACCCTCGCTGCCACGGCTGAGCTCATGCCGTGGTCCTGGTCGGAGCGCATTCCAGGACAGGTCTGGGGGTCGCAAACTGGGTGTGGAAACATGATGGACCCACGAACCCGGAAAGGGATAAAGACATGTGCAGCATGGTCACGTTTTCACGATACCCAACTGGGCGACATCTCACGAAACATCCCACGAGACACCCCGCGAAACATCCCACGAGACACCTCACGAAACACCACGAGACCCTTCACGAACATTTCACGAGACACCCGCGAAACATTCCACGAGACACCCCACGATACATTCCACGAGACACCCCACGAAACATTCCACGGGGGTGCGACTGGGTGTGGTCGTGCTGGGGTGTGGTCGTGCTGGGGTGTGGTCGTGCTGGGGGGGTGGTCGTGCTGGGGGGTGGTCGTGCTGGGGCGTGATCGTGCTGGGGCATGGTCGTGCTGGGGCGTGGTCGTGCTGGGGTGTGGTCGTGCTGTGGTGAGGTCGTGCTGGGGTGTGGTCGTGCTGGGGGGTGGTCGTGCTGGGGGGTGGTCGTGCTGGGGGGGTGGTCGTGCTGGGTGGTGGTCGTGCTGGGGAGTGGTCGTGCTGGGGCGTGGTCGTGCTGGGGCGTGATCGTGCTGGGGAGTGGTCGTGCTGCTGTGGTGTCGTGCTGTGGTGAGGTCGTGCTGGGGTGTGGTCGTGCTGGGGTGTGGTCTTGCTGGGGTGGGGCCGTGCTGGGGTGGGGTCGTGCTGGGGTGGGGTCCTGCTGGGGTGTGGTCGTGCTGGGGTGTGGTCGTGCTGGGGTGGGGTCGTGCTGGGGTGGGGTCGTGCTGGGGTGTGGTCGTTCTGGGGTGTGATCGTGCTGGGGTGTGGTCGTGCTAGGGTGGGGTCGTGCTGGGGTGGGGTCGTGCTGGGGTGTGGTCGTGCTGGGGAGTGGTCGTGCTGGGGTGTGGTCGTGCTGGGGGGTGGTCGTGCTGGGGGGTGGTCGTGCTGGGGGGGTGGTCGTGCTGGGGGGTGGTCGTGCTGGGGCGTGGTCGTGCTGGGGCGTGGTCGTGCTGGGGCGTGGTCGTGCTGGGGTGTGGTCGTGCTGTGGTGAGGTCGTGCTGGGGTGTGGTCGTGCTGGGGTGTGGTCTTGCTGGGGTGGGGCCGTGCTGGGGTGGGGTCGTGCTGGGGTGGGGTCCTGCTGGGGTGTGGTCGTGCTGGGGTGTGGTCGTGCTGGGGTGGGGTCGTGCTGGGGTGGGGTCGTGCTGGGGTGTGGTCGTTCTGGGGTGTGATCGTGCTGGGGTGTGGTCGTGCTGGGGCGTGGTCGTGCTGGGGTGTGGTCGTGCTGGGGAGTGGTCGTGCTGGGGTGTTGCTTCGTGCTGGGGTGTGGTCTTGCTGGGTGGGGCCGTAGCGTTTCGCTCGAGACATCCTCAAATTTTAATTCGCCGGCCTCAAAAACAAGCGTTTCGCTCGAGACATCCTCAAATTTTAATTCGCCGGCGCTCAAAAACAAGCGTTGCTGGGGTGTGGTCGTGCTGGGGTGTGGTCGTGCTGGGGTGGGGTCGTGCTTGGGTGGGGTCGTGCTGGGGTGTGGTCGTTCTGGGGTGTGATCGTGCTGGGGTGTGGTCGTGCTGGGGCGTGGTCGTGCTGGGGTGGGGTCGTGCTCGTGCTGGGGAGTCGTGCTGTGGTGAGGTCGTGCTGGGGTGTGGTCGTGCTGGGGTGTGGTCTTGCTGGGGTGGGGCCGTAGCGTTTCGCTCGAGACATCCTCAAATTTTAATTCGCCGGCTCGTTATTTATCATGGAAAAAATTCGCCGGCAATTCGCCGGCTCGTTATTTACCAGGGAAAAAATTCGCCGGCAATTCGCCGGCTCGTTATTTATCAGGGAAAAAATTCGCCGGCCTCCTTCAAGCAGGCACCGGGGGACAGGTTTACCTAGTACAAAGAGAACCCTGGGCTCTTGCCCTTTCCGGGAAAAAATAGAAGTGGGGGAATAAGGTATGCAATTTTCTCGCCAGCGCGCCTCGAGACACGGAGTGGAGCGTCCCCAGGTCCGTGCGAGTCCTCGTTCCTCAATATTGCATACAAGACATCTTTTGCAGGGACCCAAAACCTCAAGTCCCGGGCTTGTCGCGTGCCTCCTAGGGCCACTCGTGTGTTCTCGCGTGACTTTCACAAGAGGCCGCAGAGCGCCAAGACGAGCCAAACCGCCGTTAAAACCCAACGAGCGAACACGCTGAAACTGTACGTGTTTGCTTCGGGAATGGGGCATGTGTTGCCTCTTGGGGCAATCAGGAGAACACATGTGGAGCCCTCTCGTGGTGTTTTGAAGGCATCTTGAATCGTCTCGAGGCCGTCTTGTTCGCCTTGGAATGCTCTTGGGCCGTCTCGAAGCCGTCTTGTGCGTCTTGGGAGTCTCTTCGAACCATCACGGCCTGTCTCGGCACCGCAGGGGTCACCGTCCCAATTCGAGGCTCGAGGTCCAAGCGTTTGGACCCCCGTTCCTTCCCCAGAGAAACAGAGAGGTAGATAGACACACAAACAGACAGACAGACAGACAGACAGACAGACAGACAGACAGACAGACAGACAGACAGACAGACAGACAGACAGACAGACAGACGTACATATCTATGAGAGAGCGCGTGTCACGGGCGCTTGCCTTGGGAACATTCGGCGGCGCGTTTCGAACTGGGGGTGGGCCCTCGTAAAGGCGCGCGAACGCCCCAGGGGTCCGTTCCCGTTCATTTCCCGTTCCCGTTCCCGTTCCCGCCGCCCGTGCCACTTCCAGAGGATAGAAGGGGAGGAGCGAGGGAGGGAGAAGGGAGGAGGGAAGGACAGAGCAGCACATGATAGAACATCCAGAACAGAACATCAACATGAGAGAATAGCGCATGTATATATATATATATATGTGTACATATGTGTACATGTATGTGTGTTTGTACATGTACAGGTGGTTGTAGATGTATATGTAGTTGTGTGGATATGCCTTGTATATGTTCGAGTTTGTACATATGTATGTTTCGGAATAAAAATGCATATGGACCAAGAGCCCCAAGAAGGCCCCAAGAGGACCCCAAGAAGGCCCCAAGAAGGCCCCATCATCGGTCACGCGAAAGAGCTCACGCGTGACAGATCTTGGGCCCCTCTTTCGGCCATCTTGGAGCTCCAAGACGGGCCCAACATGACCCCAAGAGGGCGCGTAGGGGGCCCCAAGATGGCCCCAAGAGAGCTCCAAGAGGGTCCCAACATCGGTCACGCAAAAAAGCTCTCGCGTGACCGATCTTTGGGCCCCTCTTTCGGCCATCTTGGAGCTCCAAGACGGGCCCAAGATGGCCCCCAGAGGGCCCCGAAAGGGCCCCAAGATGGCCCCAAGAGAGCTCCAAGAGGGCCCCAACATCTGTCGCGCGACAGATCTCTCGCGAGACCGATCTTGGGCCCTAATTTCGGCCATCTTAGAGCTCCAAGAGGGGCCCAAGAGGGGCCCAAGAGGGCCCCGGGAGAGCCCCAAAAGAGCCCCAACATCGGTCACGCGAAAGAGCTCTCGCGTAACCGATCTTGGGCCCCTCTTTCGGCCATCTCGGAGCTCCAAGACGGGCCCAAGGTGGCACCTCTTGGAGTTCCAGCATGGTCATCTTGGAGCTCCAAGATGGGCCCAACATCTGTACGAACTCAAACATACACACCACCTATACACACAACTACATACACATTTACAAACACCTATACATATACAAACACATACACATATACACATATGTACATATATATATATATATGTATATACATACGCTTCGAGTGAAGGAGGAGCAGAAGGAGAAAGAGGGGAGGGCTGATGCAGCGCGCGCAGCTTCCCAGACAGCCGACGTCATGAATTGTTCGCAATGGGGCTCCCCTGAAATGTGGGCCCCTTCCCGGGAACCTGCTTTTCATCGTAGGTCGTTGTTGGACAGCCCCAGGGCCCGGCCCCAGAAGCTGGAAGTGCCACAAACCATTCGTCGTGTTTTTCCCCATTGAACTCCAATGGAGTCGTTTGGAGCCCAGTGAAGTCCGATGGGGGCCCAATGGAGTCCAATGGAGTCGCATGGAGTCCAATGGAGTCCAGTGGGGTCCAATCGTATTCATTCACATGGAGTCCACAGAAGCCCATTGGAGTCCAATGGAGTCCAATGGAGATCAATGGAGTCCAATGAAGTCCAATGGAATCGTATGGTTGTTCGAATCGAGTCTAATGGAGTTCAACAGAGTCCTACGGAGCCCGATGGAGTTCATTGGAGCCCAATGGAATCCTATGGCGTTTGGTGGAGTCCAACTGAGCCCTTTCGGTCAACTCGAATAGCCTTACGTCGAGCCAGCGCTCGTAAATATGATGATGTAAATACTCCGTAATGTGCCAGCTTGTGCTGAATTCGGGTTGCAAATATCTGATGTAAGACACGTAACTCATGTAAAAGATGGCATTCAAGACTGCTGACATGGTCCAGTATGGCCTCCAGGACGGCCAGCATGGCCTCCAAGACGGACTCAAGATGGCCACACTTCGGCTGGGGGAACACAAAGTCCAACACCTTGGCCAAACTTTGCCCCAACGCTTGGCCGCATAGGCGTTTCCAAAAGGCAAGTGGCGGCGATGATTCGCCGTAGGCGTCTGACAGATACCTTCCGAGACCGCCAGTGAACTCCCAGGAGACCTCCAAGACCTCCCCCCTGACGTACCCAAGAAGCCCCCAACGGGCCCCAAGAAACCTGAAACATGTTTCTAAGAGGCCCCCGCGAGGCCTCTCAGGAGAGCGCAACAAGCCTCCAAGCGTCCGCGGCCTTTCTGGGGCCTCCCTCTTGATCCCCCTTTCAGGGTGGAAGGGACCTGTAATTATT